TGTGTCTGTGTGTGCGTTTGAAATATTATGAGGAAGATCGTGGACTTGTATGGACAGGTGAATTTTACTGGATCTTACTGTTGACTTGTGAAAAAGTCGCCTCATTTATGGAAAAAGGGTAGGCTCCCATGGCAACGCGGGAAAACTTAATTTTTCACTATAATATGTGTTGGTTAAAAATTAACCAATCACTACATTCATATTAAGAGAACAAGCAAGCAAACTCAAAACCGAAGAATTCAAAGAAATGACTGCGATGGCTAAATTGTTCTATATAAAAGTAGTAGTGATTTATTAGCCAATCGCAGGCGATTAAAATGTGGGCGTGGAAAAACATAGCAACCGCTACACACACACACACACACACACACACACACATATATATTATTATTGAAATATCTAGACTGATCTTTTTAACAGCTGTATCTCCATCAAACTAACTGTATCACTATTCCAACTCTTTGCTTGACAAATTGCTCGTCTATTCATGTGCTGTCACATCTCTTTTTTTTTTTTCTTTTCAAATTTGGACAGAAGTATTTAGAACTTATCAATTTGTAATTTCCATATGTTTCATTTCCTCATAGTACTGCCTTAACATTCTTACCTGCAGTCCTCTTGGTAGTTATAATTACATCTTAGGTTCCTCATTCGTATAGGTGAGATAAGAAAGCTGGCCATCTTAAGTTGATATTTTGACATCTGTCTTGCTTCTATGGCTTCTTTCAGATCTGTAGCTTCACTTTCTGTTCAGTTTTTCCTTAATACCTCTGTCAACTGCAACATTTCTTTCTCGTCCTCCTCATCCATTAGTCCATCTAAGGTTGATTTGTTCCTTCAAGTTATCTGATATGCTTCAGATTCTACTACTATTTGATTCTTGTTCCAACTTCCTGGGGATGTGTGAAAACTTGTTCACACACACATTCTCTCTACCAGACAGATAATCAAATTTTACATTTGTACCCACTTTTTTTTATTTGGCTACTCTAATAAATATTGTAGGAGGTTTGTGATCTATCACCACTTAAATTAGTAATCCAGCTTTTGGAGTGCATACACTATAGCTGGATGAGAAACCCCAATGTAAAGGTTGCTTGCATTTGTATTGTCCACAACCTGCACCAGTCTGTATAATTCAAGAAGAGGATTGGGTGACAATTCTTGAAAATGCACTTCTAATTGCCTTGTAAAACCCACTCATTTCAATACATACCCTGATCTTTCTCACTGTATCAGGTTCAAGAATGGATTGAGTTACATTCACCTTATGTTTATCCAGTTTCATTCACTTCTTATTTATAATGAATTCCAAATATTTCGTTTCTCTTTGAAAAACTGGCATTTTGGTTCTTTTAATTTTAATGCCAGTTTCTTCAATCTGTAAGTATTAAAAATACTCCTGGATCTTTTGAGAAAACCAACATATTATAATAGGTGAATTCTTCCAAACCACTCATTACTGTCAATATGAGCTGCTAAAAGCTTCTGAGTGTATTAGCCAACCAGAATGTCACTACCTTGAATTGATGCAATTCAACATGGTATCCCAGTTTCAGATCAAAATTTGAGAAGCAAATCACCTTTTCTAACAAAGCCAGTATATTGCTAATTTGTGGTAACAGGTAGGTTAGGAGTAATGTTGTTCAAAGCCCTAAAATAAATGCAGAATCGGTGTCTTTCTTCTGGATTTATGAACTGTCACTATGAGAAAGCTCCAAGGTGACAAAGAGTACCTGATTATTTTGTCCTCCAATATCTTTTGAATCAACTTCTTCACCAGTTTCCTTTATTAGCCACTATCTATTTATTATTTCTCAACAATTGTGCCAATTGCTTATATATGTCTATAGGGTAATTATTCCCTCCTTCCCTCAATATCAAACCTTCTTGTTTCAGCTACAGATTCTCCTCACCCTCACCTGAGACCTGATGTTTTTTCACTATCATCTTACCCAGCTCCACATCTGTGATAACTCTATATTAGCTAACATACAAAGCAATCAATCTGTATCATCTCTCTGAATCACTACCTCCAACAACCCCAGCATTTTAGTTTTTAGCTGGCATCATTGGACAAAACATTCCCTTCCTCACTAAGGGGTCGGGATTGTAATCTCTTACAGCACATGGTGGTATGGAGAAGTAAATTAACTTCCAGCAGGTTCTGTTGTCAGAAATTTCTATTTAGTTCTGATTCTGCATAGGAGTGGATCAAAATCAATCTATGCCCAATCATCACCAAAAATCAAACTGTTCTAACCTCGGACACTCTTTGTAAGGCTTCAGTTTCTCAAACTATCATCCTGGCCACCTCAACTTCAGGACAGGACACTTCTCCACCTATATTGTAAAATCTGAAGAAAGCGCAGACTTAGGGTTAAAATGTTGCAAACTTGAGCTAGTCATTTATTCAATTAAACTAAAATTGACAGATTCCAGAGATTGATTGACATTTTGGAATAATGAAGAAAACTGGAATTCATTAATAGAATTTTAACAAAATGTACATTATTTTAACTGTTGATTATATATTTGTTTCACATGAATGACTTATTTTTCCCAATTGAAAGTGATAGTGGTCTGATTTTGAATTGTTCTTTCACAATGATGATGATAGAACAACAGTCATTTGTAGCTGTTTATATATTCTCTCACTTTTCAAAAGTTTTTGCAATGGTTTGGTGGTTTGTTTTTATGGCTACTGTTATGATCTGCTCTTCCTACATCTTTCATGTGTCACTGCTTTTTTGGTGGGCTTGCTGGTTCTCTCTAAAGTGTGCTACAGCACTGCATTGTGTGTGTGTGTGTGATAGTCTACTAGCTTGTCATCAATGATATACTGGTATGATTTAATTATTAATTAAGTGTCTCATTTGTTCTTGAAAGCATATGGCCAGCTGGCTACCTGATAACTTACTTTCTGAAAACCATCCTTTCTATAAGACCACCAGCAAATAGGACTTCCTAAAATACTCAGAAAATTATTTTGTCCAAAAAACTATACCAGTCCAATGGCTAAGTCTTTATGTAAACAAAGGGTTTCATAGTTTTTAAATTTATTACTTGTCATTTTTATCTGATTTATTGAGTGTAGCAGGTAGATACAGTTATAATGCATTTATATTATATGAAATATTTAAATTCAATTGAGGTTTGCTTAAGAAATCAGTCTAATTTCTCTAAAGTAGCTTTCTTAATTAGTTCATTTTCAATTAATTTCAGTAATCATAAGTTATCAAGTTTTCCCTCAGATTTTTACTATAGTTCTATACTATAAAACCAGGTCTTTTTACATTTAACTCTGTTTATTGACTATTGACAAGCCTCCTTAGGGTTCTAATCACCCAGCATGAGTGAGTCACCACCCACCTCATCATATTACCAGAAAAAGCATTTTATAGTTATGTGGAATCAGGTGTTTATACATTCTTTTTATAGATAAGCATAAAAATGTCTTAAAATAATTGTCGGACTTTGTCCATTTCATAATGTATGACATCATTTGTTTACATTTGGATACACCATGAGCAGATATGAATGTACGTGAGAGAATCATGGAAGATTGTAGTTTAAAGACATTAAAATCGACCTTGCTAACCGAATGCTCCTCTATGGCCCAATCAGTTAAATGTGCGTCATGCTCTATAACGGTTACGTATACGATACAGGTTCAATTCCTGTTGGAGGATGAATATTTTCTATGAAAATTTCTTGGACATTCAGGCTGGTAAATGTTGTTTAATACTGTTTATTATAAACAGAGCATTTACTTAAATATTTGTATCTATAAAAAGAATGTATAAACATAAAATGTCTTAAAAATATATATATATATATATATATATATATATATATATATATATATATATATATAATCTCAGCATTTGAATGGTGTTTATTATTTGTGTCTAATTATGTGATTGAAGATGTGGTCAGAGAATTTTTAATTATGAAGTCTTTAACATCTATCTGATTTTAGATTTACTATCCATATTTAGAGCTTTCTTTTTTGATGTTTGTAGTCTATTGTTTGTAATTTGAATGTGTTTTCAAGTTCTTTGTATAAATTGGGGGCTTCATATTTTAAATCCTCTGAGATAAAAATCTATTATACTGGTTTTATTTTTTTCATTATGATGTGAGTAAAAATGTAAGCATTCTTATTTATTGACTTTTGAAAATGCATTCAAATCACTACATGCCAATAAAGTCTTCTCGACAGGCAGATTAGGTTTAAGTACTCAAGTTCTCCACTCAGCCTAGTGGATTAAAGCATTGGTTTGGAAATTTGATGATATATTGTGTTCAATCCCTGGGCTGTACTTGGATGCAGTGAAAATGGGGTGAGCAAAGGAACTAGACAAGATATCCCTAGACATGTTTCAGCAGAATAAGAACAATATACCCCACCTCCTCATTCAAAATTCCCTAAAGGCACCTGATATAGACAGGAGGGCACAACAGTTGAAACATTGTAATAATAACAACAAAGATACGGACAATAGTTCACATGTAAATAATGATAACTCCTCAGAAATTCAGACAGGAATTTTGTTTTACACTTTGTCAGCTTTGATTTGAAATAGCTTTTGAACAATCCATGGCAATTTGCATTGAGGACATTTGTTTTAAGTTTGATATAATCAGAATATATTAATTTGTCTTTTGATCACTTAAGCAGTAGAATGACAGTGACCAAGCCAAGTTGGGTGTCAGTAGAGTGACCATGCCAAGTTGGGTGTGGTTATTTTCTAAATAGTAGCAAATACCATTTTTGTATTTTTTAATTTTATTTTTTCTTCAAATAGCCCAATTAAGTTTTGACAGTTTAGTGATTTACTTTAATGTTTTTATTTTTTTTAAATAAATGGTTTTATCTTGTATATCATAATTTGTAGAAACTACTGTATCTAACATTTTTAATATATTTTTAATAAAAGAAAGTACAATTTGGAAGAACAGAGATCAAATCGACAATTATGCTATTCTAATTACAGAGATACCTATGAGAAGTTACATCGTAATGAAGAGATGCGCCGTGTCCTTGAAGAAATTGAACGTCGACAGGAAGAAGAATTTACCCGGCGAGAACAAGAAAAAGGTATGTTTAATCTTCTGCTTTTATTCTTATGTACAACTAATTTTGTTTGTCAAAATTCAATTAGAAATTACCTTAAAGAAGAAATGGAAAAATTTTTTGTTATTTATTTTTTCTTTTGTAATATCTTTGTGTGAGTTTGTGTCACTTTTATTTACAGCCATAAAATGTAGGACATTTGACTTTTTTTTTCTTTTTTTTTTTTTTTTTTTTATAGTCTGGCACAAGTGTTTTCTATAAATACCATTAGATTATGTTGCTTTATCTCACCTCAAACATGTAGGCACTCAGTGTAGACTGAACTTATGATGGTGGTAATGGCATCTAAGATTAACATGTTAAGTGTTATTCCATTGTGAAATGACCTGCTTAGCTTAGCACAAAATCAAACTAGTGGAGCACCTAATGAGGATCGAATCTAGTTTGAAAGCTGAGCTTGTTAGTCATCACACTATAGTTAGCGCCCTTCTGAGATTGCGAAGTTAAAGCATTTTCAGTGCTCGTCAAGTAACATGTTGGTTAAATTATTGCATTCCAATAAATTCATATTAGATTTATTTTTTTTTTATTAACAAGAAAGGATTAGAAGAGGAGAAAGAATTTTTCTTTCAGAAATATGAAGTTTTTGTTTCATTTAGCAATTACAACTGATGTTATCAATGGTAGTGGGTATAAACACATTACTTAAAGATGTTAGTGGAAGGGTACCGTATATACTCACAGATAGGTCACACATTTTTTACCAAAAATTTCACAGAATATTAGGGGTGCGTCCTATCCACTTGGCATAAATGTAAAACAACACTACCTTGTCATCATGATTTCTGAGAAATTGGAAATGATACCCATAAACACCAACTGTATAGAAACAATTTATCTATCATATATACTGACTCACTGCTTCAAACTTAACCTCGTGCCGCTAGATTCACATATCCATCACAATAAATAAATAAAATTATAAAATATGCATTGATCCATCAGTCACCGTTTGGTCGGGACCCTCTCCCTAGACTGATATAGAAACCCTGAACATGCATACATAAGGAACCATGTGTAGATGTTTATTGACAAATAAAAAATAGTCCCACGATTCATTCTGCAAAATATTTTGTCAAAAATACATTGGAAAATATGACTTACAGAAATGAAATATATTCTTTGAGATAATTTTCTTTAATGGTGGTTTCATATAATATTAAAAGGCATTCTTAAGTGTTATTTACAAATAACAAAGCGCATGAATCCAGTACCCAAAACATTTACACTATTTTGCATTGTGCAGTGATATAGTTGGTAACCAAATTTATAGTTTATAATTTTAATTGTTGCTAACCATAATCATGAGTAAAAGAAAGAGTTATGAAGTAGGTTTCAAATTAAAAGTACTAAATTATGCAAAAGAACATGGAAATTTATCAGCAGAAAGGCAGTTTGGAGTTTCAGAAAATGTTGTCAGAGGACAGAAAGCAGAAAGATCAGCTTAAAGAAATACTGAAATCAAAGAGAGCAGCAAGGTATTCAGTATATGGAAAAAGAATTGTGTGATTGGGCACAACTGTTTAAAACGCTTATTTTTGTTATATATGAAAATCCAACATGGCACTTGAACAAAATATTCAACGAAAAAATCTCATTTGTCAGTAACATTTAAACACTTCATAGAATGCAAAGTTTTCAAAGCAAACCTCTGCCAAACTGTTTTCCTGAATCCTTGATGACTTGGATATCAAGATGAAATAATGGAAACTGAGAATGGGAAATACAATTATGTGCAACAAGTTTTTGATCAATCAGTTAACTTCTAGATGTTTTTGGGCCATGTTATAGGATCCAGACGGCTATTGTTTGCACATGGAATTATTCACTGGTAATTAATCTTTGATTGGCTGTGAAAAATGTCACTCGGGGGTTAGCATTAAAAAATTAAGGCCAATTTTCTGAGAAAAATACCCTTGCTTTTTTTTTTTTTTTTTTAAATTTTAAAAAAAAATTTTTTATGAAAAAATATTTTTTTTCAGTTCAAAACATTTTTTTCAAATTCAATCATTTCTCTTTAAGTTGGTGTGAACATCATAGAATAAAAGGAACCCGACAATGGGAAATACAAAAAGATATGCAGGAAAAAAAAAAAAAAAAACAATGTCATCTGCTAAGTGTTGTTGTCATCACCTGGGTCAAGAGGTGTTAAAAAACAAAACACATCAAGCCATTGTTCACACATAGGTTTGAAAAAAAAAAAAAAAATCCCATATCAAGCCCTTTTTACCATTGTTACTCCTTTTCTTTTTCACTCTTTGCTCTTATCTTGTAAGTGGTGGGATTTATTACAAACTGATGACAGCTTGTTCTAACATTTATCAATGGCTGGCTGGCCTTTGACTCAGATATGTCAAAGCCAATTTGGCTTAATTTTCCTTATTGCTGCTATTTTTCTGAAAAAAAAACCCCAAGTCTCCTGGTTTCTAGTGGCCAGGAATTGCGGATAAATCTTTTGCCTATTAGTAAAGATTTCTGTGGCTGGGTGTCAATTTTTTAACACTTTGCGACCGTATAATTGAAAATTACCAATGGACTTCGTCGTATTTTGATCCCCTAGGAATGTTGTTTTCCTTCAAACTCTCAATTTTATGCCTGAAATATTTTGATCATGATTTAGGCTTTCCGATTTTTCAAAAAAAAGGTTCATTTCCCATTAATGGGGGAAATTTTTGTTTAGAACTAGAAAAAATGCAAAATTTTCACTATTTTTTTTCACATTTTACCTCCTGAAAAAAAAAAATTTAATTCATTTACACCAGCCAATTTTACTTTTAAATGAAAGAACGTATTGTTTGCTTTCAGAAAATACCTAGTTTGATGGGGTTCAGATCAAATGTTTCCTTGATATTTTGTTCAGATGATTACAAAACAGTCATTTTTCAATATTTTACCTTGTTTTACCCCTATAAAAGTATGAAAATACATTTTTTTTTTTTCCGAGAAAATAAACTGCAACAAAATGACTTTTGCCTTTTTTGTGATGATTTTTACTTGGGATAGAAAATTTTTACCATAGCAAACTTTATTTAAATTTAGTGGGGCTATAGGAACCGTCAAACAGCTGTGTGGGGGTTCGGTTGTGGACATAAGAAATAATGGGCTTATTGTAACAAGACTTTAAGAACCAGAGCCTTTCAGCTGGCCCTCAATTTAGATCCTCAGTAGTGTGGTGTATAAGGTCTATGAACAGATGGGATTGACACCTTGGCAAAAAACACACATTGCTCAAAAACTGCCAAAAGTGGAGGAAAAAAGTCATAATTTTGTAAAGTTTGTTCTGAAGGAACATAAAATGTTTGAATTTTCCCTGGGAAATATTGGAAACATGGATGAGACTACTATGTATTTTGGGAAATAAAACTATTACTGTAAAAATAGGACACAAGAAGCAACATTTCATGGTTGTGTTTGCCTGCCAAGCTGATGGAACAAAGTTTTGTCCAATAGTAATCTTCAAAAGAAAGACTATGCCAAAGGAGTCCTTTCTACTAGGGATTATTGTAAAAGTCCATCTTAAGAGGGTGGATGGATGAAAACCTGACAAAGGTTTGGTTAGATGAAGTGTGGATGAGAAGACCTAGAGTGTTGCTTAAACCCCAAAGACTTTTAGTATGGGACATGTTTAGGTCGCATTGCTGTGAGTCCGTCAAGGTTAGGTTGAAGGAATACTGAACAAGGCAAGCAGTCATTCTTGGTGGTTGCACTTCTGTTTTGAAGCCACTTGATGTGTCAATAAATAAACCTTTCAAGACATATTTGCAAAATATGGACATCTTGGATGATATCTGGTGAGAAAGAGTTTACTAAAGGTGGTTCACTGAAAAGACCTACATTAAGCTTAGTTGTTGAATGGGTAAAAAATGCCTGAGACAGTATCCCTGAAGAAATGATTATTAAATCCTTCAAAAAATGTGGCATCTCAAATGCCATAGAAGGAACTGAAGATGATATATGAGGATTTAGTTGCTTCAAGCATGGAAAAGGCTGAGAATGAGGATATGGTTGCTTCAAACAAAGATGGAGATGGTTATTTCGCAAGTGATGATGAGTTGAATGACTATGAAATAGACAATGATGAAAAGATGAACAAATGAGAATGATGTTTGGCAGCAATGATAGTGAAGAAGAATTCTTGGGATTCAGTTCTGAATTAGTTTTAAATTTTAGAACTGTAACTTTATATATAAATAAACACTTTTTTCTAAATGTACCATAACATTTTCTTCTGTAGTTATTTCTTTTTTTTTTTTTTTTTTGTTGACTCTATATAAAAATATGTGGTAATATAAAAATATCGGTACAACAGTTACTTCCTTTTGTTTGTATGATGATTGATGAAATGTATTTTAACTGCAAAAGTGTATTAATAATTGTAAGTTTCGAAATAAAGGTAGAAATAAAAGTAGGTATCTGAAAATTCTTATGTTTAAAAAGGGCTGTGTAACTCCCCAGATTATAGTACGACCTATCTGCGAGTTAACAGTAAATTATTAAGCCGTAAAGTAGGGGCACAAACTGTCCACAAGTATATACGGTAGCTATAATCACTCTCAGAAGAGGATGTTGAAAAAAAAGGTTCAGGCTTGACCAAGAAACTCTTTAAAAAAAAAAAAAAATGTAAATGATGTTTGGTCAGATTTTGGAGAGTCAGCCAGGCTAAGAACTTTTGCCATCCTTTTATATAAAAAAAGGTATGCGTAGGTATTGGTTTAGTTCTTGGCTGACAAGTGTCTTAATACCAGCAAGTTGTGTGTGTATATGATGCTGTAATCTGTTTTGATAGTTATGGAAATTTTTAAATATTGTACATTGTCATTTAAGTCCTAATAGTTAATCAATAAAACTCTTTTTTAAAACGTCACAAAACCTATAGGTCTTAATACAGCATTTTACAAAAAAAGTTCTTAACATTTTTTTTTTTTTTTTGTTTTGACTCCAGTTATAAGGCTATTAAAAGAAAA